TATAACCTGCCCCAAACTGGAGAAATTATTGAGTACGGACACCGCATGCATCTCTGCAAGCAGTGTCCGATCCTGGCCGTAGATTATTTCAATTTTTTTAAAAAAAAAAAAATAAGTGAGGCCAACCGAAATACATATTGACCGTAGATCATCTGATTTACGGTCAGGATCGGACACCACATGCAAGATGCATGCGTTGTCCGTCCTTATGGAATAATTTTTTCCCAAACGGACCCTTAGTTGATATAATACATTTAAATTTGAACTTTAATTTACTATTTAAAAATTAAATGTTTCCTAATACAGAATTGCAATTAATATGCTTCATTAGAAATTTTACAAATTAATTTGAACTTTAGTGTAAATACATAAAAGTTAAATGGCATGCATACAAATCTTCTATTATTAAACTAATACTTTCTAAGCAGAGCACATGAGGTGGAATTTCTTCACTGTCACATCACTTCTTATGATATATTACATAAACTTACTTTTAAGATATGAAAATGCTCATAAAGCTGCCATTCCAAAGTAGTGAGAACAAAGGCCACTAAACTACAAGCCATCTGACTCCTCCCTTCAAGCTTCAAAATTTCTCTAAACCCTACTAACTCTTCTTCCCTCCTTATTGCTTCCATCAACACCATGCTTCTATGTTTCCTCTCCGAGAGATCAGAACATCATCCGTCGGCTCCGTTGCCGCCGCCGCCCGCGGCGACAACTTGCCATTCTGCAAAGTGGTCTGTTGAGACATTGGTGGTCATCTTGGCGGCGATCATCATCATTGTTGTGCTTGCTGGGATGCTCGCTAGACTTTGCGGGGGTCGTCTTCTTGTTGTTGGTGGTGGTGGTGATCATAATATGGAGGGATGGGTGGAGAGAAAATGCCGAAGTTGTATTGATTCTGGCATTGATCCGCCGCCCTTGACCGCCAATATGGCCATCTCCCAAGAGGCTAACAAGTAAATGTATGGCTGATTTCAAAGGCCAGCTAAATGGTGCTAAGAAGGTATTGTTTTTATTGGTCTTTTGCATTATGATTATGATGAATAGTTGTAATTTCTAGTCTCACTTTTTCGGACGTGGTAGTTTTCTTTAAGGAAATTTTTCATCTTAGAATTCATCAAATCTCTTCCTTTTACATCAATTAAAGAATATTATATATTTTTTAATAAAGATTGCAAGATTTACATGCATACCACTCAGTTATTATATATTTACATATCTAGTACTGAAACTTCAATATTTACATACATGCCACCTTGCCTAAGCTTGAAAATGTGTATTTTAAAGTTTAGGTGGTAGGTATAACATACCACCTAATTCTTATGTATTTACATATCTAACACAAATCTTTTTACATTTTTACCACTCAAAATTTCATACCACATAAGAAATATCATTATTTGAATTAAAAAAAAAAATAAAGTACACTTTTTCATGGATATGTAAGATGGCATATATGTAAAAAAATTAAAATATAGTGCAAATACATAAGAATTGGGTGGCATGGATGCAAATTTTCCTTGTATAAAACAATCTGCTGTTTTGTTGACAGAGAACTGCAGCATTTTTAGTCCTTTGTATTTTGTCGCTATGCAAAGAGTGCGGACTTGCGGTGGTGTCATTTCCGTTCAGATATGAATATAATAGAGAAATGTTTATTATTCATCAAATATAACCTTATTAAATAAGCTGAATTGTTTGTCAAAAATATATTTATTTGTAATTTATTTAATGAAAATGGTGATAAAATCAAGCGGGTGACTGAGAGTGACTTGTGAGTTCCAACATCTTCTGCTTAATTTTGTCAAATTTGAGCTCGAACTTGACTTAAAGTTTACACATTTAAACTTGACTTGTTTATCACAATAATAATATATTATTAATTTAAAATAATATTATAATAAAATTATAGATAGAATAAACGGTTAAAATAAAAATAATAACAAATCAGTTAAATATAAAATACAAAATATTATATTTAAATTTTTTTTATAAATAAAACCTTCAAATTTAAGATATTTTAAATTTTACTTATATTAATATTTTTTTAAACTGACTGAGCCGCAAGTCAACTAGTCTAGTCGAGGCGAGCCAATAGCATAAGATTTAATGGAAATAATATTACCATATATATCAAGCAATGTCATCAAAACAAAAGGATGCCAAGATGTGATAGCTTTAAGTAGCATGAATCCACTAATCAAAAAACTTGAGAATCTAAAAATACATTTTGTGATAAAGCAAACAGATCCAAAGCATTCATAAGACATCGTTCTTACCTCTGTTGCGAGGATGAGAATCCAGACTGAGTGAGAGGAGGAGGACGACCTTCGTTGAAGAGGAGGAGAGGGGAGATGGTCGTCGCCTGCGAGGACGAAAATACGGGCCGTGTTTGTTTTGGATGGGGTACCACGAAGAAAGGGCACAGGGGTAAAAATCATGAAGGCAAGGCTGGGACACAGGCATATGACGGCAGGACGCAGCGGTACCGCCACCCCAAACGCCCGAAAATAACGGTATCACGCCGCGCCGGAAGTCTGCCGCCGCCCCCAAAATTGTTGTAACACATCCTGACTACTGATTGTTTAGGCTATGGGCCATCTGGACTGCAGGTGGTTCCAAGTGGTGAACCGACCTGCGGGCCATCCACATAACATGTTTTTAATGCGCATATAAGAAGCGACAAAAATAAATGGCCATTTCAAATAAACAAAAGTTGACTGAAAAGGCAGCCTCCTGTCTAATAATTGATCTGAGAAAATTTCTGGAAAAAGCTTCTTATTAGGTAAACATGGGAAAATATGCCCAACTTTTTGTGAAGAGAGAGAGAGAAATAACATAATTTTTTTATTTTAAGTTGAATTTTAGTGAAAATTAAATTAAAACTTAGGGTCCGTTTGGGCAGTTTATGCCATGAGTCGACTGGCGGCCTGCGTTTAGCGTAAAAATCAA